TCCCCTGGGAAGGGACACCACACTGGAGCAGGGGAAGAGTGTGGGGAATCCTCCTCCTGAGGAGGAAGGAGCAGCAGAGACAACGTGTGATGAGCTGACCACAACCCTTGTTCCCCATGTTTTGTATTATTTTTACACTTACACATTACGAAGACAGAACAACTCACTAAAACCAGCTGGGGAGAAAACCAGAAATTGCAAACATGAAGCAATCTGAAGATGTTCAGAATAGAATGTCAAAATAAACAAAAAAAAAGCAGGTTTTCCAAAAGAATGCTTCCTCTCCCCTTCCCTGTCCCCCAATTCCTCTGTCTCCTACAGAGCCAGCAGCAGATGTTTCAGAAACCACACACTGGGGAGATACGCAGTATTATCTGTCCCTTCTTCCATAAAGGTCTCATCCAAAGGGAACAATCTAGTTCAAAGAGCACTCTGGTAGCAGCAAGTAGCAAACCTTCTATTCTAAATAGGTCTTACCTTTGAAAATAATTTTTCATGGATTAGTTTGAAAATTTCAAATCCAGAAAATTGTATCACAACAGTAGAAGAAGCTAAAGAATATTCTTGTCATAAGAACATTCATCTTAAACCATTCACAAGCATGTAACCTGTGAACATGATTAATTTAGGTAAAATATTATTTCTTCATTAAGATCACAACAAAATGACCACAGAATAAAATCCTTGTGGAGAAGTAATATTTTTATAAATTTAAGAAACAAGTGAAATATTTCACTCCAAAAGATAAGTGTTTCACTCCAATCCAGGAAACATATGTTTTTCCAGTATGCAAATGCTTTCCAAAAATGCAAATTTCATTTCCTCAAATACCTGTACTGATAAACACTTAATGGTAAATAGAATTTTTTAAGAAAAAAAAAAATTATGCATGATTAACAGTAACACTCAAGAGAATGGATTCAGACATTGAAATCAGTATGAATAATTACATATGGGTTTGTTTCAAAATAAAATTATAGGTGAAAGAGGTCCTTCCTTCTATGTGTAAATGTAACAGGCAATACTTTTGTCTCTGAGTTTGGCTGCTTTTTTGTTTCTAAAAGCAGTAACGTTAAAGATGGAGTTCGGATTCCTGGTGACAAGTGATCGGGTCACAAGCTAGGCTGGGGAGAAGAAGAGAGCAATGCCCCAGATAGATAGCACTGAAGCAGGGCTGGGATAACAATCTGGGTTAGCAACCCCTACCTTGTCATTATAACTGCAGAGTTTAAAACACCTCTTAGGTTGCTTTAAAGTACGCAGACAGACAGCTCTGCCCCTGGCTGGCCCAGGATCAAAGGACTGGAAAGGTGGCTCAGTGCCACTGCTCTCTCTGGCTCTGCTCAGCCTCACGAAGGCCAAATTCAGCACAGCTGAGAATCCATCCCAGCACGTTAATCATACAGCTTGGGTGGAATTGCTGTCATACTGGAGTTTTCATTTCCTCCATCTCTTGGAGCCTGACTTTTTTGAAAGGACACAAGGGATGCTTTCTCAATTAGCAGACAACTTAATTTTGAAATGAAGCATTTTGGATTGGAAACGTCCTGTTGCCTGTAATTCTAGAAAGCAACTGAAGCTTGTGGAAGTTGAAGCATGTATTACATACAGAATATTCATGAGAGGAAGAAGAGATCATGAACTTGTTTCAGATATCACATGACAGTGATGTGAACACACCACTGGGAAAGAGAGTCCTAACCAAGCTGCTAAAAGTGTATTCATATCAAGAAAAATATACTGCAGTTAATATAGATTAGATCTGCCAAAAGTGCAAGAAGCTCATTTAAGCACTCACTGTGGCTGGTGCCAGAGGGGCTTCTACCAGTACACCCTGGCACCAAGGCCAGGTGGGTTTCTCTGTCTTTTCTTTCCTTCACACAAAGGGAGACAAAGGAGAAAAAAAAATTACAGCCATTTCAGTGTGATGAAATAAAGTCACAAGATGACTTGTACATTCACAATGAACAAGTGTAGACATGATACTGGCAAAATTTCTTAGCAGAACCAAACACATTTCACCATAGCAGAGAGATAATTCAAATCTTTACTGTAGTCCAGCTGCAGTGTTGAGTTCAAGATAATTAGGTGTTCTTTATTATACTTATTTTTTAAAGGACTAAAGAACAGAGACATACCACAGCTCTGTTGCTCCACAGCTCCATTTATTCTGGAAAATGCGACTCAATATTTAGCTGGAAACTGCTGTATAGCATTTATAATTAATATCAACATAATGTTATTTAATTCCAGAAGTTGGTCATGGGAGTTACTACAGACAGGGGCTACTGTCTTCCAGCCATGGGGTGGATTACAGTTACTGTGTACACCATATTGTGAGGGGACCAAAGCCATATCTGAGGTCACAGAGATCAAGGAGACAAAAGAAAACTCCCTGTAAAATGATAAAATATTTCAAGCTAGAAAAAGTTAGCTGGATTATGGAAATACAATCTTTCTGAATACTTTTTTTCCCCCTCAAATCCTAGCCATCTTTAAAAGCAAGGTGACAGCTCTCACAAGAGAAATTTTTCTTCTTCTCTGCTGTGAATTGATTTAGCTCTCCTTTCCAGTGACAGAGAGACTGCCAGATTGTGTAAAGCCCAGAGATCTTTTCAGCAGGCAGTCCACTAATGACTCAAAAGTTTGCATAAGATACAGAGAGAGGCATATACAGAGAGAAAAGGGGAGAGAGAGAGAATAGAGGAAGAGAGCATTAAGCGTACGCTTCATTCACCCATCATACAGGGCTCCCAAACCCAGAGGCCTGAGCCTGCTGACACGGCAGGCAGCAGCATTACTCCAGCTGGGCTTCAGGTCTCCCCAGCTGGTCATCTATCCATATGTCCCACTGCCACTCCATTGATAAGCCAGTACAAACCACATCTATTCAAAAAGTACAACATATGGAAACTAGGAGTGTTTTCAGTGATTTGTTTGAATGGCTTATAGTTTTGGTCTGCAAAGTTTGAAAACTTTTTCTTTTAATAGAATGTGTCTCTTTTTCTTTTTTCTTTTCAGTATCAGTTGTAAAACTACCTAAAGTCATAGTCACGTGTCAAAATCCTGACACCTACATTTAATGATTTCCATTTCCATGCCCACAGTCTCATCCACTTAACTTCCTTACTGCTGGGGTACTACTGCTCCAGCTTTCACATGTCTACATTTTATCAGTATTCCATGGCTTTCAGTGGAATAACTGCATGGTCATACACATACTCTCATGCAACTGCCATCTTCATTATACTAAATGGACTTCACTCCTTTGGCAGCATTAGAAGCAAAGAAGCAGTTAAGTAATTGCATATAAAATTATACTCAAGAAAAAAAAGGATAAGCAAAAACAGAATTAAGAGAAATTGTTTCTTAGAGTTTTTTATAAGTTTTAAAATACAGACTATGGAGCAAGAAAATGAGATAATGACAGTCATAAAAGCAAATAATTGTCAGGACAGCAGAAAGAAATTATTTTCTTGTGAAAAGAAAGAAATTTTCTTGTGAAAATATACCTAAAACAACCTTACTCTATGGAAACAGAGTGCTGTAACCATACTCCACTAGGAAAATGAATCCTCACACCATTAAGATAAAGAGATTTACATACCATACTTTGACATACTTAGAAATATGGCCCCAGGAATCAGAAATGTAGAACAGGTGGGTACAGAGCAGAGCCAGGGGAAGAATCAAATTAAGTCTGCACATAAATCTCTTGATTTCACAAGTTCAGAAATATTTTAACACAAAAAATGTGAGCGTTCACAAGATTATGAAACTATGGAAGGTTGTAGAAGTCTTAATTAGCTTGGGCTCGTCTCATAGGTCACCCAAAGAGACAAAACTAATGCAAAAAATCAGCCACAGCAAAGAGCCTGAAGTCTTTGTCTCCACTTGAAAGTTCCCATCGCAAGGGTACAGTGAAACATGTCTTATCTCATAAAGTATCTCAAAGAGGCCACAGGTAGGAAAACATGGAACAACCTAAAAAGCAAGGAGGAGACACAAATGAAACCAGCTGAAGAGAGAAGAAAGGAGAGATTAAATTCTCTATATACTTTTGTGGGTCTGCAAAAAGGCATTTCTTCACAGCAAGAGTTTTAAAGAATTCTTTCAAAAATTCCACATAGTCCTAAGGAGGGTGCTCCCTTTAAAGCTCTCAAAGGTTGGCTATTTTTCATTTTCCTTCAGCTATTTCCATTTTTATCATTCTGCCTTCTGGCTAGAAACATGTACTTGGAAGGATTTGTCAGTTCTTACAGTGAACATGGGGACCACCTTGTCCTCTACTATGGACACATTCACCAAGGGCTACTGAACATTCACCAGCAGAGGATGGTATGAGATATAAAATGAAACCTCAAGTTAAGTACTAATTCAAGCTAACTACAAACTACTACCATGTATACCACCAGTTAAGGAAGTATTGTTGTCATATATCCCCCAGTGTCCAGTGATAACAAAGGATGTGTAAGAGACTTGCATATAAATGTTATGATACCTTTACAACTTTCTCTTTTCTGCCCTAGGGAGACATAATCCTGAAGGCTAAAGGAAGACAGGAGGGAAAACACTGAGGCATAGACTCCTAACTGGAAGGTCCCTGCCAGGTTATGTTCCCTTTGTTTGATTCCATGACATCATTCTGGCCACGGAATTCAACCAAGGAAACCCAAAAACAAAAAAAAAAGGAAAGAAAAAATAAAGGATTAGCCATCTTTTCCTTCTGTTCAAATATTCTACGTGCCACAAAAAGCTGTTACTACTTTTATAGTTGTTTTAAACGGCTAACTTTTCCACTTCCTTAATCTGGCTTCTTTTACTCTTCAGCCGTTGTATTAATGTTTAACCCTTTTTTCATCAGATCCTACAGCCATCAGACCCTGGTTAAAGACAAAAAAAATTCCTTCTCGTATTTGATCTACCCTTTGAGAAGAGGAAAGATTATAGCAAGGGGTTTGTGCAGTACAATTAAAAAAAAAAATTAAAAAAAGACAAAAAAGTAAGTTTGGTTTATTAGCACATTTATTAAAAGCACACTTTTATATTTATCTCAACATCTGAGGAAAAGTCTCTTCCATCCATTTGGACTCTTCCCATTGCTCTCAAGATGAAAGCTATCATGCTACAGAGCAATAAGGTACCACCATATCTCCTTAACTGAGAACTGAAGAAAGATTTCAATGCTAACAGGATCTCCTATAGGCCCTGTCTGAAGCACCTGTCCATTGCATTAGGGAACTGTGCTGTAAACTTCGTACGTATCTACAGTATAAATGACATTAAGAAGTTCATGTTTAAGAAGGAAATTAATAACATAATTCTCATGTTTAAAAATGCTCTAAATTAAAAATGCCTTTTACTTTTTTCCATTACTTTTCTTGGGAGTTCACAGCTTTAAAATACCATTCAACAGTACTTTTCATTTCTTTGTATTAAAGTTCTTTTTGTAACTATATGATAACCACTGATCTTTTCTAATAATGAAATAACAAATGTTGAAACACTCCTGGGAAAGAAAAAGGGTGGGAAAATAATTCCTGGATTATAAGATATCCCTTAGAAACTTTCAGCTGTCTGTAAAAGGAGAGGAAAAAAAAGAAGAGTGGTGCCTTGTTTAAAAAACAATGGCTTTCCATCCAGAATTATGAGGATAAGAGCTAATAAACTGCCTGACAAGCAAATGTAGGTAAAAGCTTGAGTTTGTATAGCATTCTGAAAAGTCCTACTACAGTTTAAGTTTACACTTGGTAACTGCTCATTTTCCCTTGAAGTGTAGTACAGTCAGATTCAGATTAATATAAAACATGATCCATTTTAGAGAAATTATCGTATCTGATGTACAGAACAAAAAGGACCATATTGTTACTTCTCAGACACAGTCAATAATCTTTTTCTTTTTTTTTGTCTGAGGCTGACATAAAGTCACCAGATGGGTCATAATGGAAACAGTATCTTCCACCTCTTTGTATCTGAGTAAATTACTTCCTTTCAAGATGAATTCTCCAGAAAGAAAATTGAATTACCTGAGTGCTGATCCACTTCAAAGGATGTCCTTTATAGGAAGCATAATCAGATTCTGATGCTTTGATCAAGGGAATCTATGAACCTGCTTACTTGATCACAAACTCTACTATTTGCTGTGAAGAGATAACTAATCAATTACAGAACATACACCTGCTCTGAGTAACATTATTGATGACTTGTGAGAAGGAATGCATAATTCAAAGAGCAAACGTCTTTGGAGAGCTGGCAGTGGCTGTAGACTGAAGAATTCAAATGAGACAGAGGGTGGCCAGCCTAGAAGTAAGTTGCTAATAATTAAATGCGAGTATCTGCTGCGCCTTCATTTGAAATGGAGCTTAACAGCAAAAGTAAGGGACTCTTGCTCAAATCTGGTTAGTAGTATGGTCTGCCAGCACAAACCCTGCCACCCTTCCCTGTCCTAGAGCAAGCCTGGTCAGCTTCACAGCAGAACCTGATCATTTCTGCCATATCAGAGTAAGGACTCACTGGTCCAGGGAAGCTTATACAAGGGCAGAGCTCATTTGCCCATCTTGTATGCCATGCACCAGCCTGTGTTTCCGTGCACCATCTTTTCTCAAAGGGCCAGGATCTTCTAGACTTTTCTCAAACATGTATGTGGATGCCTTGCTCCTTCATGACTCCAGGGCTTCCATAACTAGTATTTTAACATTTCAGTGAGAAGCAAATTTCATTCCTTCCAAAAACATCCTATGTTTCTTACATTGAAGACATTGTAAATAAGAAATTAAAACTAGCCTGAATATTTCAAAATCCAACATAATAGTTCACAAGACCTATAGTACTGGACTGTAATCACAACAAAATTAACTGTAATAATTACATCTATGTGCTGAAGAGTCTTCTGTATTGCACTACATGAACATCTTGGAGTATCTTTACAATTCAGACTCATAGGAATCCTGTGTCATTAACTATATCTGAGTAATTAAAACTTCCTTATTGAGTGCCTTCCAACTCTTGATTATGTCCAGACCCACAGGTGCCCTCCTTTTAAGCCCAAAACAAACAAAAAACCTCTGCAAAACACATACAACCTACAAGTGCTTTTCTTCAACTTTTAAAATAGGCTTGAGGTTAAAGTAGGAAAGAATCTAAGTAGAAGTTTTGAGCGCTTAAGAGTACTGAAAAAAGAGACTGCAAAGTCATCTTTGTAACCTTATCTACTCTAAAAAATCCAAAGATCAAAATGTTTGTCTATTCAAAACATTGTATTTTCCTATATCCATTTTTAAAAAAGCACCTTTTTCTTTTTTTCATTAAACTCAGTTGAATTGGGTTAGGCTTTAAGATTATATTTCATTACATGGTCTTTGCTTAATGCTTCAATGGTTAGTCATGAGCTGACTTTATCCATTGCAAGCAAGACAAGAGCTGACCATGGAGAGCTGAAGGTAGCCCTTAGAATACAGTCTTCTGCCATTTTGGCCTTGAACTGTAAGCATACACAGAAGATAGAAAAATAAAGTGTCTGAGGTCTGGACAAAATTTTGCTGAATCACTCAGGTGAGGACCTCAGCCAAACCTAAGACTCTCCTGCTGTGAAATACTGCAAAGCTTTTGAGGATGGGAACTCTCAAAAAGCCATGTTACAGCAGCTAAAATTCAGTGGCAGCAGTAACTGGCCACAGGTTTCTAAACAATCCAGTGAAGCATGTGCATCCCTTAGTCCTTCTCGCGTTTTGAATTTATGTGAAGATGTTTATTTTATTGCCTTTTATTTCCAAGATGAAGGAAATCTATAGTCCACGACCAGAATTAATAACATTAAAAGAAAGAGAGGAAAAAAAGGCATGAGTCATTGGAATTCAGTTTTTATGTAGCATGCCAAAATAGGCTGAAGTTAAAAGTGAACGCAGTGCACTGAAAGAATTGTAAGGTTTGTTTTTATCTTTCTTATTGAACAGATTCCTGCAGTTTACTTTTTTGAGCATCTTACGGCATCTTTGGATTAGGTAACAAAGAAATTCCTTTTTGACACAGCATGTGGTCAAATGAAGATTCTGTTCAAAGTGACATGAAATCAAAAATATTGGCTATATAACAGGTATTGTCTTTTTCTATACCTCTGTTCTTCATTGTCAGTAGCAGCCATAACTGAAGAGACACACTCACAAAGAAGTAAGAAATGTTCAAAGTGGGCAACAGATGCTTTATTAGAAGGCAAACCTTTCTCTTTTCTCTATTCATTTTATCCTAACACCAGCAGGTTTCCAAGGGGGAGCAAAAGCAGCTTTGAAGCTTTTTTTTTCTTCCAACTGCTGTACTTTTTTAAAGAGGTCCTAATTTCAAATGCTTTACTGAAGTCTGACTTAGTACTCTTATGCTACAGAATATTTAATGCTTTAAAAGTAGGATCACTACCAGTTCCCCTTTATATTTGCAATTTTTTTCTGGTTATTAATGGGACAGACAAGTCCCAGTTATTGGTACTTGCAGAATTCTCCACCTCCAGGACGAAAATAATACTCATCTTGGGTGGCAGGGAGCTACGGGGGACCTTTGACCTGAGTAGTCTGGGAACAGTTCATGGGTTTGTTCCAGTGTCCTATATGAAAACAGGTTTTACCTCCACATGTATAAGAAACTTCTGATGTTACTTACAACAACTAGTGCATACTCAGGCTAACTTCTTAATTGAAGTCAGTTGGAGTTTTGCTCAATCACTGAACACTGAATTGGACTGAAAACAGCAGCAGATACTAAGCTAGGGTAAACCAACCTTGTTCCACAGAAACCCATCTGTATCCCACCTCAGAGTTCCAAATGCCAATGTCACATGTTCAACAAAAAGTCATCCCTGGAGCCCTATTTCACACACAAGTTTCATTACACTGTGTTGAAACTCGGAGTTGTTCAGTCTAATTATAACATGCAAAAAAAGTAGGACCAGCACATTCTTATATTCTATGCTGTCGTGGTTTAAACCCAGCCAGACAGATCGTTCACTCACTCCCAGTGAGTGGTGCCAGGCTGGAAGCAGTAGAGGCCCGCGTCCCTCCCCTCCCTGGGGGCTCTCCCCTTCCCTGCTGCCGGAGGGATGGGGAGGAGAATCGAAAGAATGCAAATCCCACGGGTTGAGACAAGAACAGTCCAGCACAACACAACACAAATCACCACCGCTACCACCACCAACAACAATGATAAGAGAAAATAACAAGGGAAGAGAATACAATACCACCCACCGAAAAACGAGTCCAACCCAGAAGATCCCGTGTCCTTCCGTGTAACTCTCAGTTACCCCCTCGGGCATGGCGTGCTGTGGTATGGAATACCTCTTTGGCTAGCTTGGGTCAGGTGTCCTGTCTCGGCTTCCTCCTGGCTTCCTCTCCTCCCTGGCAGAGCATGAGCCTCACAAAGTCCTTGGTCAGGGTAAACATCACTTAGCAACAACTGAAAACATTGGTGTTATCAGCACTGTTCCCAGGCTGAAAGTCAAAACACAGCACTGCTTCAGCTACCAAGAAGGAGAAAAATTGACTGCTACTGCTAAACCCAGGACACATGCCAATGAACAGGGATGAACAGACATAAATAGGGCTTAATGCCTATTTATGGGACTATGTAGGAGCCATGGGGACTGGATATATATATCAGCATTGTGTATATTCTCTCCATGGAAGCACACAAATGGCTATTCAGTGCAAAAGGTTTGTTTATACCAGCAAAAGTATCAAAGTAACAGTTCACTAACCAGGCCCCAGAGACATGAAAACAGATATGTTAATAAAAGACTGCAGTCACTAGAGGTACTGGAATATAATGATGTGTATCACATTCCATTTCATCTCACTTCAAAACTGCCTTGTGAATTAGTATTTTAATTAATACCTGGTCAGGTTATACATTCTGTTCAATAGCTGACCAACAGATCAGCCTCAGACATTGCTCTCCGTGTGACTACCTTAACGTGGTCTAGAACATCAGAACAACAACAGAAGCAGATCAGCTTTGGTTCTAAGGTTACTTAACTCCTACAGGGAGCCAGAAGCAATGAGAAACCAGTCTGACAAATAAGTGATCTGTTTCAAGGCAATTCACTGATTCTGACTTCTGCCTTCTCCATGAGCGCCTAACCTTTACCTCAAAAGGTAATCACCTGTTCAAAATCTCTTGGGCATCTCTTTTTTTCATTCCTGGTTCTCCATTTTCAGGGAATTGGACAAAGCAATCTTTGGTGTTTTTTTTAATGCATCTCAGGTAACAGCACAATTATCAGA